CTCCCGGACGAGTCCGAAGGGAGGAGACTAAAATAAACCATAAGATGCCTTCTGTGTGTATGTTATACCTTATGTTATCTGCCACATGGTATATATATATGCCATGTGTGCATGCACCATGTTACATATATATGTATACACACACATATATACACACACATATACAAACACACACACACATATATATACACACATCTCTCTTTATATATAAATACACACACACATATATACATACATGCATTATATATACACACACACACACAGCAATATACACACACACACACACACACACACACACGCACACAGAGCAATAATAAATGCCATTCATGTATGTTTGTATGTACACACACTCATATAGGACATATTATACAGCATATTTTATTGTTATACATTTTATTAAAAAGATGCCATATAAGCTAATGTAGACTATATACATGTATAAATATGGCATAGAAGCTATGCCATATATTATATTATATTATATTATATTATGCAGCAATATTTTATGTCTTTATATATGCCATGTATGCCACATATGAATGCAAATATGAAATAAGGCACCTATAAATAAAATATATAACAAGAAAATATGCCATATAATACATGCCTTATGTAGATACCTATCTGTGTATACACACCTATATAATAATTTGTAATACCTATACGTATGCATATATAATTATATATTATTATATAGCATAATTTATCGTTTTTAATGCTATTCTGGCACAATTTCTGAAGTACTAACAATTGTTTCTCTCGCACTTTTTTTGCTTTTTTTTTTCTACGCTCTAATCTGTGGTCAGAAGACAGAAATGTAGCAGTATACATGTTTGCATGTTTCCCAAGAAATGTACAAGAATGTTCTCATGCTAAGTACTACCCTGGAAATGTATTACTTAAGATGTTATCGACTTGGTATTAACTGTGGACATACCAAAAAGGCAGAATACATTTGCTATTTTATTCCAAACTTGGAAAATATTAAAGAATCATTTTAGCATTTCATTCAAATAGGAGATTATATTCGAGGTTGTCCCAGTGCTTGAAGACAAGGAGATGATATGAAAGATTCACCTCATAACAGCAGTACATCCATCTCTCTTCCTCCACATAAGATAACATTTTTATTAAACAATTTCAATGATTGAAGGTCTGTTAAAATTCCAAATCTCCATTAATAAAGAGCTAGCATTTTCTGGGTTTTTCCTTAGTTGTTTCAACTTCCACCCTTAGACTTCCAATTACAGAGAAGTAAGGCTGGAAGGGACCTCAAGAGATCATCTAATCCAATGCAGACTTCAACAAATTTTCACCCAAACTGTGGATTTAGCCCCAAATCTGCGTTATGCCAAAATGTAAAATAAAATATATGACTTTGAATAACATGATAAACTATAACATTGTGCTGTAATGATGCTTGAAATTCTCAATAGAATGAGGAATGTAACAGTAGATAAGGCATTCTCAATTAATATGCATATAGAAAAATATTATTATAAAATGTAATATTAAAGATTTATGCATCTGCACCTTTATTTATAAATATGTTTTTTTCTTCGTAGTGTAATTGTAGTTTTGGTAGAACTTGAAATAATCAATAGCTGCTAGAAAAGATTTCATTTCAGTACTGCCAAGAAGCCACAAGGTGGTGTATTTTCCCAACTTTGCCAAATCAAGTGCAGTGCAGTTGACCTTTGCCCAGTGATTCCTGTGTAAGCATGATGCAGCAAAAAGACTTCACATTTTTCTGCTAAATCATAATGAAAACAGATTCATCTAGAAAGACAGTACTATCATTAGTACTCTCACCGTTTTTTTGCTTTTTTTTATACGCTCTAATCTGTGGTCACAAGACAGAAATGTAGCAGTATACATGTTTGTATGTTTCCCTTTCATTAAAATAAATGTGCCCCTTTCATTAAAATCAATTTTTGAACTATAGATAAAGCAGTATTCAAGAATCTATTGCAAGTGGAGATCAGCAAGGAATCTGTTAAATAAATAATATAAAAAAATATTGATGGTTTCAATGCATATTACACATTTGGATTTATTTTAATTAACGTGAGGTATGCTAACTGAACTATGCCTTAAAGTGATGCAATTAGCTTGCAGTCACTGGAGAGGAAGAGCGCTCATGACTTGATGTGGTGGGCCTTTGCTCCTGATATAAAACTGTCTCCTACAGAAACAGCGTGCCCAACTTATAAAAGGGCAAACCCCTCTGGTTAATCCTGAAATAGAATTCATAGACTCCAAACATAGGGAATTATACTTGCTGTGGCATCCCAATTTTGTTAGGCTAGCCATGGCTATGACTCTTTAATATGCAATGTTTGAGCTCAGAACTGGTGGAACTACTTTAATAAATGCCCCAATATATAATTATAATACAGTGAGTTTGGTACTTCCTCTGAAACAAATTATATCAGCTTCTGCAAGAACTGGATGAAACATAAGACTATTCCAAGTATTTCTTTATATATGAATGAGCTGTATTCAATACTGCATATGAATGAAGAAAGATAGCATAGTGCCATATTCTTTTATTTACAATATAAACCTTTTCCCCAAAGATCAGTTCCCACCTCTGCGCGCGCGCGCGCACACACACACAGACACACACACACACACAACTGGGATGCGTGTCTTAAGTAGGGAATCTTAAGTTTTCTTCACTGGAAAGGAAGCAAGCCCGGAAATAAACCTGTCATGCAGCTGCCAAGGTGGGATCCAATTGCATCTGGCTCAGCAAGCTGAAAGGGTAGAGTCTCTAGTATTTAACTATCTCATAGCCATAGCTATTGGAATTGAAATGTTGTGTCTGGGGCCAAAACAGTAAAATCAATTCCAAATTCTATTGACTGAGCAGAGCTCAATCATTCACGCTTGTACTGTGTTAACTCCCACAAGTATCCTACCTCCCAGACTCTTCAGCCAAAAGAGCACGTCACCATACATTGTGAAGCCTAGATCAGTGTTTTTCAACCTTTTTTTGTACCAGGATCCATGTGCAAACATCGATGGCTAGACCTGACCCAGTGCCCCCAACCTAGCCCCTATCCCCAGGCCCCAGCTCCCCAATGTAAGGAGCGCGGCAGGGGGTGGAGATGGAGCATAGAGGGGCCCCAAGCAACCCCTCGCAGGCTGGAACTCTGCAAGCCTGCAAGGGGAAAGCCACAGTTTCCCATGTTTTTCTCCTTTAAAGGAGAATCCATTTTTAAAGTTTGTTCACAACCCTTTCATATATTCCCACAGGTTGAGAAACACTGGCCTAGATTCTCACATTTGGAGGCATTTGTAGATTTTTACAGGGTTGCCTGCCCACAGTGCAGTGGACAGGTCTCCACTCTCTAACTCAGGGGTGGGCAATTATTTCAGCTGGAGGGGCACTTAACGAGTTTTGGTGAGTTGTCAAGGACCATATACATAAAATCTTTTTTTTAAATATCATTTTAACAAATCATAGATAAAAAATAAATCATATACTAAACATCAAACATCTACTATAACATATTTTAATTCTATTTCAAAAAGTAATTTTGGTCCTGATGTGTTCTTTTGAATAGGGTATATGGATGTGATTGCAGAATAGCTCAAAATACATTCTTACTCTTGTATATTGTGTGTGGTATTGTGTGTGGGAGGGGGCATGGGTGGGGTGAGATGTGTAGGGGGTGGTGTAGGCATGTGTGTGGGGAGTTGCCTGTACTAGGTCCCAGGAACCAGCCAGAGTTGGGGAAAGGGAGGGGGGGCAGGGGGCATATGCAGCAGAGCATGCCCGGGCAGTGTGGTGCAGGTGTTGTCCACCCTCCCCCACATTGGGGCTACATCTGCCCCCATGGCACTCGGCATGGGGCTGAGCCCTGCCTGCTCCTGCCCAGGGCATCCCACACCATGCTTCTGCCTGTACCTGCCAGCCACAGCCCTGGCCAGTACCCACAGCTTCCCAGGGGGACTGCTCCCACCCATGTTCTGCTTAACTTCTGCCATCTCTAGCAGCTCCTCCTCCTCCTGCCCCTACTGTGCTGCTCCAGATGGGAGGGAAGCTGCAGCTGGCCAGCTCCTGCCCCAGAGCATGGAGCACCAGCTCCAGCTCCTGACCCCCTTCCACACACTCTGCCTGCCCAGCACAATGAGCAGATACGTGTGGGTGGAAGGCGGCTAGGACCCGGAGCTCCACACACTGGGGCAGGAGCTGTCCAGCTGCAGCTTGCCCCCCGCCTGAAGCAGCACAGCCAGGGAAGAAGGAAGAGGAGCCACTGGAGGTGGAGGGAGCTGAGCATCCACACTGCTCATCTCTGGGCTGCAGCCATACCAGGAGCAGCCCTGCTGGGAAGCTGTGCCCACTGGCTGCGGCCAAGGCCATCAGCAAGCACAGGCGGGAGTGCAA